TGCTCTTTATTAAAATATGTAGGACTTCAAGGTCCTAAGAATGGCGAGAGCCTACTTACATTTCAGTACTATTCAAACCTATTTCATGTTCCATTGGATCTGGATAGCTATTCAATATATACTGTGTATATCCATATTTAACCCATTGAGCCGCAATGTGCTCCAGTGCACCCAGCTTAATGGGTTAACCAAAAATTCTGACAATGTATACTACCGTAAACGTGTTCCAAACTAAATTGGGATTTTCCAAAGTACGCCATTTCGCGTATTTGTTTTAAATTATGCGGAATTTCTCTTTCTTTCCGCAAAATCTTGACAATTTCCCAAAATATGTGCAAAAATAAAAAAAAATTGGGCAAAAATTGACCTAAAAACCAAACCGTGCGGATTTTCTTCCAACACTACTTTCGCAAAATCCGGTTAAAAATACTAAAAGCGAAAAAAATCGTATTTGTTAACGTATATTTCATATTTTAAAGTAAATTTTGCGTCGAATTACAAATATCCCCAGAAAACAGGAAATCAACCAGAAAATGTTGACTTCACAGCGCAAATATCGGTTTGGTGGTTGCAATATGCGGAATATTTGTATTCTACTATTTTTTCCGCAAAGACGTGATAAAAACAAGGTTTTAGGCAATTTCGGTTGGATAACAGAATATTGATCGCTAGAAGCTATGAAAAGATTCAGAATTTCTGAATCCTGAAAACCTGAAATCAATGAATATAAGCGGAATATTTACAGTGAAGAAAGCTACAAGGAGTTCAGAATTTCTGAACCCCGAAAATCTGAAATCAATGGATATAAGCGGAATATTTACAGCAAAGAAAGCTACAAGAGGTTCAGAATTTCTGAACCCCGAAAATCTGAAATCAATGAATATAAGCGGAATATTTGCAGCGAAGAAAGCTACAAGAGATTCAGAATTTCTGAACCCCGAAAATCTGAAATCAATGGATATAAGCGGAATATTTACAGTGAAGAAAGCTACAAGGGGTTCAGAATTTCTGAATCCTGAAAATCTGAAATCAATGAATATAAGCGGAATATTTACAGCGAAGAAAGCTACAAGAGGTTCAGAATTTCTGAACCCCGAAAATCTGAAATCAATGAATATAAGCGGAATATTTGCAGCGAAGAAAGCTACAAGAGATTCAGAATTTCTGAACCCCGAAAATCTGAAATCAATGGATATAAGCGGAATATTTACAGTGAAGAAAGCTACAAGGGGTTCAGAATTTCTAAACCTCGAAAATCTGAAATCAATGAATATAAGCGGAATATTTACAGCGAAGAAAGCTACAAGAGGTTCAGAATTTCTGAACCCCGAAAATCTGAAATCAATGGATATAAGCGGAATATTTACAGCAAAGAAAGCTACAAGAGGTTCAGAATTTCTGAACCCAGAAAATCTGAAATCAATGAATATAAGCGGAATATTTACAGTGAAGAAAGCTACAAGGGGTTCAGAATTTCTGAACCCCGAAAATCTGAAATCAATGGATATAAGCGGAATATTTACAGCGAAGAAAGCAACAAGGGGTTCAGAATTTCTGAACCCTGAAAATCTGAAATCATTATGAACATAAACGGAATATTTACGGTAAAGAAAGCTAAATGATAGCTCGAAAATCTGAAATCAATGAATATAAGCGGAATATTTCATTACGGTGAAGAAAGCTAAATGGCGTTTAAAGGCGAGCTGTGATTGTAACCCTGTATTCACTGAGCTGAAGAGTGAAAGCGAAGTGAAGATAAGCTAAAGGCTTGTAATCAACTTGCCTTCGGCAACTAAGTGTTTTCAGTTGATATAAATTTTTAAAAAATGGAAACAAGCATTCGAAACATATTACCATAATTCCAAGACTTTTAAACTTCAATCAATCGTGACTTCAATCCTTGTCAGTCAGATGGCAGAAAATTTATAGTCACCTAATATATTTATTTAATAGTGAGTTTACATTTGGATGCAAATAAATCAGCATCTTATCACACATTATGTAACTTACCAGGGCATGAATATCGAGATATCACAGGATAGCAGTACTAGATTTTAGATACTAAATATCATGTGATTAGTATCCAACAAAATACTTAGAAAATATTGAAAATAGTTAGAAAATATTGAGGTATAACATTGCATTTGTTTGGCAAAAAATCCATCATTTTGTTTGCATTTTCAGTGAGTGTTCCATGAATGTGCGAAATACTTTACAAGTCTACAGTATGCCCTTTCTGCTGTTTTATACCATTGATTTGAAAGCAGCTTTAATTAAACCATTAAGCAGCAAGATCAGAGTCTAACCCTTGACAAGATGTTATTCGCCTGGTGGTAAAAAGTGAGCCTTGCGCACTGGGGTACTTTGCCACTTAATGTGTTAATTAAAGATAAGGAGATTAATGTTTAACCAAAGGTGTTTGGAAGATGGAATACTACAGCAGCTCTCAGACCTGCATGTATGTAGCAGATTGAAAAGTCTGGTATCCCTCATCGATCTTGCTAAAAAAGTTAAATTTCATGCCCGGTTAAATAACCTTATGTTCGTGAACGTTCCTCTTGGTACCAACGTTTTAAATATTTCCTGGTATTCTCCTGAAGTTTATTTTCACTATCTAGGTGGAAATCACATATGATAATGGATTGTTTCGGCAAAACATCACTCCAAGGAGTAATCTCCCTACCATTTTTTAGCAGATGAGGTTCCCATGGCTTTGCGTATGAACCTTTCCAATAATGAATAGTAAATTCCTCCTCTAACACCTCCACCACTTTTCCAATGACAGGCATTTTCTTGTAGTTGCTTAAATATACTGCAACAAAAACACCAGGAGCCAATGCCATGAGAAAATCATCAACCAACCGAATTCCTCTTGTTCTTGGAGGCTGGTAAGCACCAGTATATATCTAATAAAAAAAGAAAAATGTTCCAAAATAATCTGTGGCGCTGTGGGACCCAATTTGTTTTTTTTTGGGCGGGGGGAGGGCAATACTTTTCCAACAAACTAAAATTTTTTCCTGGATGACAACATTTAAAAAGTCTCCCCCCCCCCCTTGTCAACAACTTTTTCAGTGAAAAATGTTTCCAGACAATACAGAGACATTACAATTGCTTTCGTAGCATTTCCCCCGATTTTAGTAGCACTTTTTTCGATTCTTCAACACTAAAATTCCGACAACATTAAAGGTGATCTACAGTCTGTATGTAAACAAAGCCTTTGTTTACATTTTTGTGTCCAAAATATTGAGCTTTATTCGACAACTATTTATATTTTCAA